GCTATAACCCGCTACCAAAACTTTTGCTACTCACCTACGGTGCGGAAGGAGATTGGCTTTGAGCTCAACTTCTTCCGAGGCGTCGAACTGGGCGAGATCCTTCTGAACTTCTTGGGGGCATACTACGGCAGCCCCGAGGACTATGAAGCAATCGTGACACCGTTCCTGGATACAATGGTGAGTGTGACCTATTACTGAGCAGGTTCGATTTGTTCAAATCTTATATAGCCTAACCCGACGTACCCACCGCTTGTTGAGGTCACAACGTGGCCCGAGCATCTGACGCTCCTTGCCGGTCCTGATGGCACAGGGCAAGTAGCAAGTACGGAGGCGAGGATCACATCCAATCATAATACAAGGTACACAAAGAGCCTCACGACCCCGTCTGACGCGCCGATGCCGCGGGAGGCCATAGCTGCCCTTGCAAGCTGGATGTCAAATGAAGGATGGAAAACCACGACGGTGCTAAGGATCAATGCACTGAGACTGTCAACGGGCTGACGAGTATTGTGCGCAGAAGTGGTTTGTCCAGCTCGAGCTATACGGCGGAAAATCGTCGCAGATTGACGCAATCCGCCCGCATCAAACCGCGTACGTGAACAGAAATGCGCTGTGGATTATCCAGGTGCGGACATTCAATATCTTGCAGAGCATCACAAAGTACAAGCTACTTACTGTGGCACTGTGGCACTAGTTCTGTGCGTCAAGCTCCGATGCAAAACCACCCTTCCCAGATGAGGGCATTGACTACGTGGATGGCCTTGCTCGTTCCATCACACAAAATGTGCCCAAGACGTGGCACTACGGGTGCGTGCAGTTTCAAGTTGCCTGCGATGACTTGCCAGCGTTAATTCATGCATAGCGCATATCCCAATTACATCGACCCGCGTTTAGCCCCGGAGGAATGGCAAAGGCTCTACTATGGAACTAAGTAAGTCTGCGTATGGACATAATAGAGCCCTACTCACTGCAAGTGCGCAACCCCAGCATGCGTCGTCTGCGCAATATCAAGTCGAAGTATGATCCCGACGACGTTTATACCTTCGGGCAATCTATGTGAGTGCATGTAATACGCTTTATGTGGACCTCTTGACTATATTACCGCGCAGCTCGTTGCTGTAGTCATCGATAAGGCGCATATATGCGGTAATACAACACGAGGAAGATAAGGAGAGGGTCATTGTGATTGCATAGAACACTAGGATTGCACACGACGCAGCATGGGGAAAGCACGATGAATGAATGGGGAGGCGAGAGATGAGTCCGTGAGACAGAGTCCGAGACATACAGTTCATCCAGAAAGGTCGGTGAGAGCAGCAAGGGCAAGTTTGATACGGGTGACGAAGTCGTTGAGCCGCTGCCGAGTTTTCTCTTCACGTGGGGCAAGACATGAGCATATAGCCACCATGATAGAACAAGACCAAAGGTAGGAGCACGAGAATCGGTAGGGAATACCAGCCTACCGATGAGAGACGACGTGCCTTGTTCTTTCTCCAGCTCAATGACAATTTTGACTTCCTTCTCCAGCGCGTCCGCGGTAGTGTCGCTTTCTTGCGCCGGCCGGGCGGTCGACCACGCATGAAATTCGAGCATGAGCTCGAGCAGCATGACGTTCAGCTCTGTGGCGCATTAGCACTAGAGATGCAGCGGTGCCGTTTCCCCCGCATATACGCACTTTCGAGAAACTCCACGTCCCTCTTGGACTCGTTATCAAATGGTTCTACGACAGACGACCGATGGTCGAATGGTGTATATGAAGTTGAGATGACCTCCGTGATAGCACGTCGCTTGACTATTTGTGATGTTTTACTAATTTCTGGAGTCGAAGACGGACTTGGGGATGGAGACATGGCAAGTCCAGCGCAGATACGAGTGGTACGAGGCCAAGGAGGAAGAACTTCAAGAAGGCCCGCCTTCAGGATGTGATCGTTACGCGCCGCACGTGTCGGTGACTGTCCGTGTAAGCGCCCTCAAGACGCCGCTGGCAGTGGCCACGACATCCATCTAGCTCTTATGTAGACCGGTTAGCTGAACAAGGTAATATAAACAATCACATTCAATTCGCAGGTGCGCAATACCACTACTACATACATGCTTCGAGAGGCTAACAAAATGGCATATATAACTATCTACACTCATAACATATAGCAACGTAAGGATCGTGTCTTGAACGGATACAAAGGGCTGGACGTTATGTAAAGCTACAAGGGAAGGAATTGGAATGTATGGTGAGCCGCACCAGTGTTCATGATTGCCTACACGATAACGACGCGTCCACATTGACCGCAACCGGCTCAGTTGCGGAGTCGGAACGGGGACTCGAGCGGGGCAAACGTCGGGGGAGAGGAGGGAACAAGCTTCTGCAGGATGCGCGCCTTCGTCTCCGGACTGATCTTCTTGGGGCTCTTCCTCGGCGACGTCGAGCCATGTCTGCGGCGCCGTGGGCGAAGGATAGAAGGTATCGCAATTTTCTGCGCCTGGTAGGCCTTACGACGTGCCATGATAGGCACCGTCTGGCACTCCCTTCGCGCGTGCGGCGACGGAGGCGATGGGGGGAGTGTGGCGACCATCGATGTCGATGCCACGCGCCTCAGCGTCGACGTGCACGCGTCGAGCCCTTCCTGGAACCGGACCCCTACCGCCCCAAGTCCACCTGGAAACAGCCCGCCCTCCGGCCGCAGTCTTCTCCGCGGTGCCGGAGTGGGAGTGGCCACTCGCGGCAGTGGCGGTGGCGGCATCGGGACGTAAGGCTCGTATTTCAGCCACGGAGAGACTGCCGACGTTCGCGCATGCTCTGGGCTTGGTTGTTTGGGCACTGGACGCTGCTGGGGACGCTGGGGGGTCGAGAAGCCTGTTGTTCCGTGCGACGCCATGTGACGCCACTCGGTCATCGAACACTCCCGTAGTGTCTCTCCGGGACTGGGACTGCCGTGCGCGACGCGGAACGGAGACGGAGAGTCTTGAACGTCATGTCCAGGGCCCAGCAGCGGTTCGATTGACTCTCGGCGACTAGGATATGGAGCGTGCCGTTTGGTACCGTATCGAGGAGGTGTTACTGGGTACTGCATTCTGAATATGACAATACTGGATGTCCGTGAGCAAATCTGGGGAGCTGCCCAAGCCGATGAGGGTACTCACAACAAATTGGTTTGTGGGTGTGGGGTAGGTAAGGAGAGAAGGAGAGGGCCTGGATAAAAGAGTGCGTGATCTCTAGCCAACCGTATTGGACGGTTGGCCCCTTATATATGCAATCGTGACAATACCCTATTTGTCGGACAATGCATCGGACCAAAGCTGGCTGCTTTGTTGAGCTTGAGGCAGGGCCGCTTTGGGCATCCTCCTAATATTGTGACTCGATGTACGGTCACCCCTGTGTGAGGACAGGAGATGAACGCACCATCCGTACAAGATGCTTGGGAGTGGCGGAGTGGCGTTAGCATGAGCATACAAGGAGCTCACTGCCGGGAGTCTTGAAGGTGCGGATTCCTTAGGTTGAGTTTCCTCGCACACTACATCGACGGTCAGTGCGTCGAGGAACCTCACTATGCCCAACTGAATCCTGATGATGCCTGCGATCAACGTTAACAAGGTTGCACATGAAAACTTAACTCACCGAGAACAGGGCCATTTCCTTCCAAGAGCACCACTCCCAAACCGAAAAATGCTTCTTCTGAAAGGCACAGAAACGCAGGGTGATGGCACGGCTTTATGATTCGGTATATATTTACAAATGCCAATATGCTCTGATGTCTATGATACACATGGGGAGAAACCGGACGTCCACTACACTCTGTGTCGCGTTCTCAGAGTGCATTCACAATATGAGATGATGCGTTCATGCAGTGGTCGATCCGCCCGACTTCCACCTAAGCTGCAGATCAGATTCATGCCCTCGCTTTTTGCACCGTGATGACGGCGGGAAACTCACAACTGGTAGCCTGAGGCGATGAACGGGAGCGAGAAGCCCGTGAGGCAGAAGGTAACATACTTGGCGGCGAAGGTCTTCTTGTTGTTGAAGGTGAACGGAAGGTGCTGCAGAGAATAACGATGGGTAAGGGGGCATAAGACGGGGCAACAGGCTACTCACGCCGTAGGGTGCGGGGCCTCCGTGGTGGGCATGCTCAGCCTCGCCATGGGCGAACCGCAGTTGACCGACAGGGCGGCGAGAAGCCCGTGCGAGCCGCACAGTCGAGGACGACAAACGAGAGATGGACGACATGGAGCTGCGTTGCGAGAGGGTTGAGGGCGACGACGAAGGAGGTTTCGGTAATGCGCCGGTGGGTATTGGATGACTTGTTCTCGTGCACAAGAGCAGGTGACAGTGGGTGACTTCCTCGAGGAGAGAGACTATATGTACCCCACCGGAGATCTGTTGATATCACACCACCGACATACCCCGCCTGGATGCCTCCTAGAACTGAGCCAGCTGACCCTGCCGACGGTCGACAGATGGCTGGGTGGGAATGCGGTCATGGGCCATAAAGCGATGTGCCGAAGGCTAAGTGGGGATCGAGAAGCGCACGAGACCGTCTATTCAGGTGGCCAGTCGATTCCAGAACGCATACGGTAGCGCTGCGCTGCTTGTTATGAGCTGACTCCTGTTTCATGATGCTTGTGAGTGGCAATTGGGAGACAATAACTGCGTAGTCTCTTGCCTTTCTGTTGACCAGAATTCGACGGCTGAGTTCGCGACGACGCACGATGTCCTTCGATGTCCCACAGCGCCACAGATGGGCGCTTCCAGGGCGTGAAGCATATCCATTCTCCCAACGCGGCACGTACAGCGCACATCCCCGCGCTGATTGCACACCAGCTGACAGAGCGCAGCATGCCCATACGAGAAAGATAGACTCCTGAAGACGTTCCAAGCATGTGGTCTAGAGGCCAAGGCACTGAAGAGACAGGGCTCGGTCACTTCGTCAATCAAACGTCGCATGAGCTGTGCGGAATCAAACATCTCTGCGACTCTTCTTGTGTCTGCAAGGAGAATGAAAGACATCGCCGCGTTAGCGTAGTGGTAGCGCGTCGCACTTGTACAGCTGGTCGCTTGAGCCAGAACAGCACATGCGAAGGTCACTCGTTCAATCCGGGTACGTGGCAAACAATTTTTGTTTTTGCCCTCTCCGCTGTGGATGGAATCAGAGGTGAATTTCACCCATTTATTCACTCAAGTTTAACCGATGGGATTATTTAGGTCCACACGAATGTGGTAAAAACCACTTCCGCACTGACTTTAATGAGATATGAAAACCGCCTCTAATGTGTCCTGGTTCACCAATAGAACATGGCAATCATCCTTTTTCCCTTCTCAGAAAACGGGCCTATTCGCGACAGTAATGTCGTGGTTTATGATCACTAGCGAAAGCTCCAAGGTTCAAAGTCAATCCAGTCGACATTTCCAAACTCCCCATCGGGCGGATACTGGAAGACCTCCTCGACGCTCGAATACGGCGCATACTCCTCCTCTGTCATCAGCAGAGTCACATTCCCTTCGATGCGACCTGTGAGGTTGAAACCGGGACCAAAGTCATGATATTCCGCCATGGTGGTGTTATGATCAATGCGTGGATCCGTGGGCTGCCACTGGATGTAGCCCGCAGGACGAATGCTGTCGTCGAGATAGCAGTGCGCGAAAATCGAACGTATCTGGGCGTTCTAGGAATGTCGTACTCCATAAGTGACGTTGAAATGCGTAAGTGCCCAATACCACTCACCCATGGCCTCCCCAACGCGCACTCTCCAGCAATACTCAGGCTGTTATTCTCCTTCATCACAGCGGAATCATGGATGTACACGCCATATTTGTTGACAAAAGATGTGTTCGTGCCTTTCCAGGCGGTGATGCCACCGCCGCACGACCGCAGGGTAACGAGGGAGGACTGGATCCACGCGGTACCGTACCCGTAGAAGAAGTCGGTCTGGCCAGCGATCTCGCTGTCGTAGAAGTACGCGTTCCCGAGCGGTCCGACATAGATCTAGACAGCCTGCGGTCAGCTTAGCAAACATCAGAACGAACACAACTGACCGTATCCTGGTAGCTATAGAAACCAGTGTAGTAGAAACTTGCATTCGCATGGTTCACGTCGAGCGCGAGGCTCGGTGTGTCCGAGTACGGTGCATAGTCATTGACGAAGTCGATGTTGTACACACGAAAGTCCGTGCTCCCGTATGGCGCTCCTGCTGGGCCGGCGGTCAGCGTGCTCGTGCGCGCATTGTCACTTGGTCCCGCGACCGCCGCCCAGTACACGCGGACGGTGTTCTGCGTGCGATCGTTGGGTGCGATTGTCTGTCCGAGCAGCGTCACAGGGCCGAGCCGCGTCACATTGACTTGCTCGGTATAGTTGCCAGATGCGACGAGGATCGTCTGTGGCGTCGTGTCATTGGGGAGACTGAGAACCGCTGCCTGAATGGTAGTGTAGTTCGAAGAGGGGCCCACAAAGACTGTCCCAGCGGGGCAGCTATCAAGGGGGTCACTCGTGGCAAACTGGCATGCCGCCCGATTGTATTCGAGAGACGCGCCAAAGCAGACGCTGATGAATGCAAGAGCAAGAACGCTGAGTAGTAGCGAAGGCTGTGTCATCTTGGTCAGTGACGAAAGGGCGGGGAGCGCGACCGGGCGCACCACGCTTGTCGTGTTGGCGATATACACTGCGCGTGTGTACAACGCAGAGAACGAGTACGGCAGCCTCCCACGCGAGGTGCCCTCGAAGCAGCACAGTGAGAAAGCCCCACCATGTTACTGAACGCAGCGAACGTAGCGTGAGCGTAGCGAATGTATATTGTCGCAGGGTTGACCGGACCGCCGCGGATCGCTGGGCCGAGTGCATTGATCATGATAGAGGTGACATGTTCGATCCCACGCAAGTGCATAGACATCTGGTCTGACTGGCCGGCTTGTAGACACATCAATACAAGCTGCCAGTGGTCCCGGTCAAGCCGTGCCTGTTTTCTAGTTATGGGAGCAATGCGGAATGGCCCCGCTACGACAAAGGGTGTGCTATAACCGAAAGGTAAGGGGGACAATCGATGCCTACACCCATTGCCAAGTGGCATCGTCGAGCTGACCGGCAGAAAGGTCCGCCAACTGTTCGAATGCACCCGGGGTGACGGCAAGGTCGGAAAGTGAACAGGTTGAGCAGCGGTCGGTGACCGTAACAGTAACAGATTTTCCTTCATCTACGGATGTGGCACCATGAATACAAACCGAGCGAGGAAGTAGCGAGGACATACACGTGATAGTTAACTGCTGAAAGCATACCGGGTTAGTCGGAGGGTCGCCGTTATAACCACTGTCAAACCACTGTGTGAGGACTGATCGGTTGCGTGAGACGACCAAGCTCACGGGTAGTTGTCGAATATCTCGTAAGAGATTGCTACGACGTCATCGGAGTCGGTGTTCGTGACACCGCACGCACCGAGACCAAATTCAGTGAAATTGACTGTAGGTAGTTGAGAGCGCAGCCGTCTTAGACAGTGTGTACAGACTCACCATCGCCCGTCTGAGTACCGCTCGGCCAGTCATCCCTCCCAGCAACAGATTTCTCCAAAGCTTCTATGTTATCTGCATGGCTAATACCTACTGCTGACGCGTATGTTATGAGGCCAATTATTAGTGCAGTATCAGTGAGCAGCATGGCGACCGGAGGCAAGAGGTGGAGAGTGCGGGAAGAAGCCTGACGACTCATCAACCTTATACCCAATCCCCGTGTCAAGTCCGGCAACAAAACCCCGACATGAAGACGAGCTCTGATCTCAGGATGGGTTGACAGGCCGGAATTCTGATGCCTTGCATGTGATGGCCGACCGGGCTATGGCAGTATAATCTCCGCGGACCCTCAACTTTGACCTTGTTGACGGGGAAAGTGATTCAGTATAGGGAAAGCATGTTCTCCACAACGCGACATTTGCCTCTCCACGACATGACGCTCATGCCGCTAGTCATACACCTATCCTTCAATGCTGCCTATCAATTCCCTGGACTGAGAATCAGAGTCGCACATATACTCACTAGTTTGTCTAGCTCCGAATCATGGACTTGACTACATCACTTCAGGCTCGACTGTCTCGCCGCTTCCGCAAGTTGCCCTTCAAAATTTGCACTGTTCGTGAGCCGTTAGTGCACCAACGCAGGATCGATTTACTACTTATTGGCACAAGCATTGTGCTGGCGCAATAGTTCCGTCGTGGAACGTTCCAGCTGTGTCTCGCCTGAACAGAAGGAAGCCTGGACCGTGACAAGTACAGCGCCGACTCGCCAACGTCACACTTATCAGTCACGGCTTGTTTGAGTGTGACCTGAGCCTGGTATCATTCACCGCATGATACTTGTTGTGCCCACCGAACATGACAAGCAGATGATCGAGGGCAACGAGGTTTTCCACCGTTATATCATTCCCTAAAAGCTGTGCGTTCTACGCTGGATTACAACTATCAAGTTACAATTCCTCCGCGACCAGGCGCCGAGGATACACACATTCTCTTCGATCCAAATACATTGCGAACAGCAGTGGAAGTATCTAGCACAGTACCTTGAATAAATAAAGACTGAAGCGAATGTGGACTACGTGGAGTAGCAGGCTTGAACGGCTGAGGTGCCACAGCGGACGCTTCCGAGGCCTTAATTCCAGTGCCAGGTGATGGGAACACGGCCTGCAGACAAGGGAGCAAGCCGCTCGAATGCCGCAGGACTAAGGTCCAAGTCTGTGGTCGCGCAACCGACACAACGGTCAACGACAGTGACGCTGACGGAGTGACCCGCGTCTACACAAAATATGTACGGTCAGTGGACGTCGTGCGTATAATGGCAAACGTACAATTGACGGTTATTCCCTTGTTGCAGACAGGGTCATTGTTAGGGTTTCCACCAGCATAGCCACTGTGTTAGACATAGTCACGGTCAGGACCACAATCTCGTGGAGTTAAGAGTGCCTTACGGGTAGTTGTCATAGATCTCGGTGGAGACAGCAACAATTAGGTCCGATGCACTGTTCTGAAATCCGCATGCACCCACGTCGGGCTGGAACCAGGTCCCTATATATGATTTAGCCGGTGAAACCCCTCGTAAGAATAACGCTCTACCAGAGCCCGATTGGGTGCCACCGAGCCACGGAGGGGAAGCACATTCAGTGAGGGCATCGATGCCGTTGTCCGTACGGGGGATGGACAGAGCGAAGGCGGAGGCGACCAAGGCGAAGGAAACGATGATATTGGTAAAGAACTTGAACATAGCGACGACGAGGAAGAAGGAGGGGAAAGAGTGACTGGAAGAGAGAGTAGCAAGAGTCGAAGGGATTGAAGTACAATCTGTGAAGAGAAGAGGCTGAGGTCCTTGCAAACAAGGGCAAGGCTCTTTATACTCAAACATCCGTGCCTGAACTCACCTATTGTCTTGAAAACATACCTTGGCCACATCAAGGCGGCGTAGGCAGCAACGTGCTCTCCACTGGTGTACCGCACATACATCCGAGCTGACACCAGCACTGAAAGCCTTTCTGTGTAGTAGCATGTGCATAGGCGCACCATGTCACCACTTTACACATCCGGCTGGGGCGCCCACAGCCGCTGGCGCTGAACGCAGCGACGGTCGTTATGTACGTCGATAATGTTTGATATCCGCAACGGCCGTACATCCGACGTCCGATGTCAACGAGCGTCGGCGCCGACGCTCTGGGTGGTCCTGGATTTGGTGGGACAAAGATCACCTTATACGCAGGAAGGTAGTAGAGCACGGTGAAAACGACGTAATCGAAAGGTGTGCACTTGCACGTGTGCATAGTCCATTCCGGTCGATGCTGGAGGCACAATAAATGCAGTGCTGTTGCAGACTTGTTCAGAGTCAGAGTGACAAGTCAACAAGAGAAATGCCTAGCCTGGGTCTCGTTTGCAAGCCTCAGCAGTCTGCTAGCAACGGTAGCATCACAACACACCTTAAATAGACATACCAGAATGACAAAATTGCCCAGGAAATAACTCCTGTGGTTACTCCGTCTGAGTCTGCGACGCCACATATGCGGCGCCGGTGTTATCCGTCGAAGCTTTTCAATAGAACCTTGTGTAGTCGCTCGTAATAAGTTCTGGGCTACAGTTGGAATATAAATCTC